AAAATACAAGGTGAAGTAGGAAGCTTTGATTTTAGATCATTAATAACTTGAAAAATAATTTGAATCACAAAAACTCTAGCAATGGCAATCGTTTGCTTGGTGATGCAACTCAGAAGTACAAAACTTTCAAAATACAAAAAAAAAAACATCTTTTGGTTTGTAAGAAAAAGTTGGTGGAAATGCAGCTACTATCTTGCAGGACTTTACTAATATAATAAATGTTACTTGTGATGTTGTAAAAAAAATGCGATAGTGGTGTACTGGTAGAGCGCTTATAGATTATTTTTTCTATTTTATAATTATCCATACCGTCATACTAAATAAGAGTTTAAATCAGAATCTTATTATTTAGCGCGTGTTTTCATTTATTTAAATCTTGCTACTGCACGTCGTTGACAGCGGCTTGTTCTTTATTATTTTGAACACAAGCCGGTGGTTGCACCTTTTTAATATCAATTGAATTCTTAAAAACAATGGTTTTTAACTCTTTACAAATCTAAGTTTAAAATGTTGTGCGTTTAAAATTTAAGCATTTTAAAAGTTCTTTTATTTAGTTTTTCAAAGAAGTTTATTGTTTAAATTCAAACTATTTTTTCTATATACGATTCTAATTTTTCTTGAAAATTATTTGTGGTCACGGCTATTTGAAATTTTGTAAAACTGCAGTAGCGAAAGATTTTTATTAAGAGCATTAATAAATTATTTTTAGAATGCGTTATTATAAGCGCAAGACACCAGCAAAAGGTATGACATCAAGCGATACGATGCTTGCTACTGTCAAAAGATTAGTTTAAAATGGAGAGAAATGCCAAGGAGTTGCAACAGACTATAGCATTCCTCAAGTAACACTCAGAAGATACTGCATGAAAGTCAAAGCGACGCCAAGCACCCAGACCAGTTTAACTGTAGGGTACCACAACAACAGAAATGTTTTTATTATAGAAAAAGAGATGCGATTACGAGGTACATATTAGAGGTTTTAGTCGTATACTATGGCTTCACTCTTGCAGATCTGCAGGAGTAAAGCCATAGTATACGCCTGAAACTTCGAAGTGCAAAAGTTTGTTTACAATTACGTGAAAAAAACTAAATACAAAATTCCTCTTTCATGGGAAAAGAACGAGTGCGATGGTGCAAAATTGTTTTCTTTGTTTCTAAAAAGAAAAACAGAGCTTGGTATATGAACACCCAAAGCTACATCGCTGAGTCGTGCCACCAGTTTTAAAAAATATAACGTGAATTTATTTTTCGACAGTCTGAATTCGGTACTAACAAAGCACAGCTTTACCGCAGCATATATTTGAAATGTGGATGAGATAAGTTGTACAACTGTAAAAAGCCACAAAATATTGTTGCCGATAAGGGAGTGAAGCAAATTGGAGCTGTCACTGTCACTGTCACATTTTGTTCATGATGATCCAACAGGATGCATCGAAACTCCTAATCCATCCGTATGGATGAATTACACAATGGATCAATGTGACTCACGTACAATGCACTCCACAGCGACTAGCTTTATTGCTACTTGAAAATCATGAATCGCACGTTAACCTAGAAGTTTTGGATTTTGCGAAGACCAATGGAGCTGTTATATTATCCTTTCCGCCTCACTGCTCACACAAGCTGCAGCCATAAGACAGATCTGTCTACTTTCCTTTTAAAAATTTTTCAACTCTGCATGTGACACATGGATGAATGTAAAAAAAGGCAAAACAATGATTATTTAATTTAAACAATGACATTCCAAGCTGTGTACGTTATGCATTTCCTCTGACAATGACAATGAAAAACATAAATGCAGGGTTTAAAGCCAGTGGAATCTGTCCATTCGATCGCGAAATTTTTTGGATGTCGAATATATGCCTTCAAAAGTTACAGACCGCTTAGAACCAGCAGTGACTATGATACAGTTTGAAGTTCCTGCTTTAGCTATTAAGAACTTCCTGTCTTCTCTACTGGTAATAATAATAATAATAATAATAATAATAATAATAATAATAATAATAATAATAATAATAATAATAGCAATAATAATAATAACAATAATAACAATATTTGTGATTTTTTATATAAATTTTAATTGTGGTATTTTGCCTTTATTCAGATGTCAGATGTAGAACCAGATAATACAGAGCATATCGGACCATTAACTCCAGGACTTCTTAAAACTCCACGAGCAGATGTAACAAAAACCCTACAAGAAATTTTTGAAGGGTTTGGCCAATATTGGACGTTTCGACACCACAATTTTTTTAAAAAATTGGCCCCAAAAAAGGAAGAACTCGCATTTTAACAGATACACTGAAGAAAGATGATATTGTCAGATACAAAGTAGCAAAAGAAAAGAAGATACAGACAAAAACTGCAAAGAAAATGCCAGATAAGAAAATACTTACAAAAATTACACACAAAAAAGTCTATTCTGTAAAAGATAAGGTTATTAAAAGGAAACGCGAGACAAAAAAACCTAAAAACCGTAAGTCTTTATTAACCAATAAAAGCGAGCAAGAAGCAGCATGCATATACTGCCGAGAACTGTTTGGTGAGTCTAATCCGATAGAAAAGTTGATTATGTGCTATACGTGTTAACTTTGGGTATGTGTTACAGCTCTCTAATCAAAGATATATTAAAAACTACATAACTAAATTTAATCATTTTTAGCGAATATTGAGTGCTTTAGTAAGTAGCAATAAGGCAATAAAAAATTTTTTTTTTTAAATATTTGAATTTTGGTCACTAGTTCACAAATAAAAAAAAACGCTCTAACTAACCCGGTCTTTCCTACGCAAGATTATTATTAACTTGCTTTAATGACATTTAACAAGGTATGATTTGAATTTCTTTTTTTTATGTTTAACTGCTTTTATTACTTGATTATAATATTGTTTCTTTTTTTATATATTTCTTAATAATTATGTAATATACTATATATATATATATATATATATATATATATATATATATATATATATATATATATATATATATATATATATATATATATATATATATATATATATATATATATATATATATATATATATATATATATATATATATATATATATATATATATCTTATACTGCTGAGTTAGGTGAGCATGATGATGTCATACTCACCTAACGTCAAATAGCCTGCTGCCATATTCTTAGTTTACATTAGTTGAAATATCTTAGCTGTAAAACAAAAAAATGAATATAATATTTGGTGTGGTTGGAATTGAAAAAAACATTGTAAAGTGCAATGTTTTCCTTTCAACTTCATATTATTACTCTGTTACCACTTTTTTACCATTTTACCATTAGGGGAAAAGTGCTTATGATGGCATACTTAACTTTGAAGCTTCATTATTCAGTATCCTGAAGAGCAAGAACAAAAGTTTTGATATGGATTCTTTGTTACATGTAGAGCAATAAAAACCCCAGAAGTTTTCATCAGCTTTATTTTTTTATTTGTTATTTTTATTTTTTAAAAAAAAGCACAAGTATGCCATCATAGGCAACTACTGCTCCTATGATGGCATAGGGAAGGATGGGGCTGGTTAGCATCAAGGGTAACTCGATGATTTTATTATACCTTAGAGTCTTGTCTCAGAAATGCCAGAAATTCCGCGTAATCATCCTAATTAACTATTCGTGTTACACAACAGTAAGACTTCGCGCATGCGTATAAGAGATATTGCGTTTTATGTGTTTTTTAAACCAAAAATTTTTAACTGAAGTAAAAAATCTTTTTTACTTCACTAACAAATATGTTGTTTCTATGAAAAAAAAAAGGTTTTCTCAACTCGTCAATATTGCAACACACCTAATTCATCAGTATGCCATCATAGGAAGAAGTCATCCTTTTCATTTAAACAAGCTATGTCTGCCTTGTTCAAAAGATAAAATTAAAATAAGTATTCCATTAAATGCACAAAACTTGAAAATAAAAAGCATGAAAATTTCATTTCTGCGCAGTTAATAATAAAATCACAATCTTAAATATTTAAAGGGATTAAAAATACAACAACACATCCCAAAATCAATTTATGTTGATTATAAAAACAATATTAATGCATTAGGGACGTACTTTTACAAAAACAAATGCAAATTCAGTATAAACATGTTGGTCTAATCACTTTTTTGCCATAACCAATATTTATGAAAATATGACCGGTATGCCATCATAGGCGCTATGCCATCATAGGTGCCTTTCCCCTACTACGTTTTTATAATCAAGGCTCAATTCTAATTAGTTTTATAGATTTCAAAAAATTTTAAGTTTTTTCAAAACCTTTTTCAAAAATCTTTACTGATCTAAATCTTTTGAAAACTTTTTTTTTTTTTCAAATAAAATTTCTTGCAAATGATTTTTTTTTTCAAGTAAAATTTTAATTTTGAAGTAAATATTAACATTTATTAGTGTAACCGACATGATGACTTGAAAAGTTACTATTTTAACACAAACTTATTATAAAATAGAGAAAAAATTATTTATTGTTTTGCTTTTTTACTGCGTTCGTTTCCCCTAATACACACAAAAACGAGAAAAGTTTTTAAATTAAAAAAATTATATCGACTGATCACTGATGTAGGAACCGAACAACTCCCTAGCGCATTTGTTTTGTTTAGCTCCCTAGTGCTTAGTCCCTTATTCTGTTACCAAGAAACACCTACCAGACAAATTCACCTGTTTCAGGTTTTTAAAAAGATATTACTATCGTAGCAAATCTTATTTTTTCTTTCTTTCTTTTTAATGCACAACATTATAAGATTTATAACTTTTTTTCTTTTCGAAGTTTCTTTTCAATGCTGATTTTAGTTAAACACTGCTATTTTCAGTATTGTTTAGTTTAAAATCTTTTATTAAGGTAACTAACGATAAAAGTATGCAAATGTAAAGTTCTAGTTTCGTGATTTTCTTTTTATTTGAATCCTTGTAAAGAAACATAAATAAATAATTAATAAGTATCTGAAGAAACATAAATTAATAATTATCAAAGAACTTGAAAAAGAAATTTCATGTTTTATAAAAAACAAAACAAAATAAAACAAAAAAACAAAGTGAAAAGAGAGAGAAGAATTTTGTAATATAGTGCTTAAAGATATTTTTTTCAAAAAAACACGAAACGCACAACTGAAATTCGTAAGTATATTTATATAATAGAGTAATATTACAAACAATGATAAAGATATAAGAGAGATATAATAACAAAAAAGATATAATAATAAAAATTTTAAAATAAAAATATGTGTACCAGAATATAATTGTAAAGTCATATGGCGTATAAAATCCATATGAAATACAATTTCCCAGGATTCCGACTTTTTCCAGACAAAAAAAAAACTTATGATTAGGTTTTCATTATTAATTTATCGAAGATTAGTTATTAAAAAAAAAAAAAGACCATAGAACTGTTTTCATTTACTTTGAAATATTTGTTAGATTAATATTTATTTATTTGAAAAGTTATTATTTTTAACAAAAGATAATAATAGAAGTATTATAAGGCTAAAGTTTTTGTAAAAAGAAGCTAAAAATAAAGAATATATAGTGTATGATGGTTTTCTTCTTTCCAATCTAGCATTATAAATTTTTGTAAAAAAACTCAAAAGTTCAGCCGAAACCTCTGTTTTTGAACCTAAATCACTTAACCAAACGATTTACCTTTGGAGAGAGGCTAACCGGTAATAGATAAAAGTCTATACTGGAAACAAATTAACGTATGACTATATTTTATAAAGAACGGTATTTAAACTACCCATTAGTATTACGGTATTTGAAGTATTACCTCAAAAATGGCGTTAACAATGTATTGTTTTAAAATAACGAAACAGCTCTTTAAGGAAATCAGGGACGGACGTATTCGGACGCATAGATGATATAAGTATATGTAATGGATATGCAAAGATAGACAAAGATAGATATAGATAGTTTGTATACAAACAAAAGCAAAGATAGATCTTTGTTTTTGTTTGTATACAAACAGTAGATGGTTATGGATACTCGTGGGTAGATTTGAATACGCTTACGAAATATGTATGCATACGCATCGATGAACATAAGTACTTATACAGAGATGGATACGGATGCGGGATTAGATAAAGTCGGAACGGTATTTCTTTTTTTTTAAATATCTTATTTGGAATTCAATTTCAAGAATTTTTTCATTTTGGTTTATACTTATTTTTTATAGATCTTTTTTATAGCAACTTATAATTGTCTAATTTTAAAAAAAGAATAATTTAAAGTATGTTTTTTAACAAGTTATAAGAATGTTACTCTATAAAGAGTTTGATAATTTATTACAATTTAACATTACTACATCTAATTTCCAAAAA